GTGGTGGGTGCAGAGGACTCTGTTGTAGGAGACTCTTGTGGAGCACTCGTCACTGGGGATGAGGGCTTGGGCCTCAGGGTTGTAGGTGTGGGCCTGGGGCTGGTGCTTGGAGCTGCTGTGGAGGAAACTGTGGAAGTGGGAGCAGATGGCAGCCGGGTGCTGAGTGGGCTGCTGGGGGCAGGTGGAGAGCTGGGATTTGGAGATGATGTTGTCAGAGGGAGTTCTGTGCTGCTTGGTGGGCTGGTCTCTGTGGAGACAGAGGTCTTGGAGGTGCTGCTGATGGAGGTGGCAGCTGTGGTCTTCTGTGTGGTCAGAGGTGGCTCAGTTGACTTTTTATGGGTGAAGGCTGTTAGGAGGAAAACACGGGTTAAATGAGCAAGAGGGGAAGGCAAAGCAGGTGGGCCCAAGTCACTGACAGGATACAAGCAAACATTGCAGTGCTGTCCCTGCACTGATTATTCCTGGAAAAGAGGGAAGACTGGGACTGTGGGTCCTGTCCACAAGCTACTGTCTGATTTCTCCCCTAAATAGGGAGGAAATGGACAGGGTGCCTTCCTACAGGCAAGATCCCTCTGCCTCTTCCTGGAAGAGTATCCTTTCCATATGAACATGTATATTCCTTGAAGGAATAGGCAGGGCATCAGGACTGTGGCCCCTGAGACTGGAAGACCAGGCTACATGGGAGAGTCCAGTGCCCCATAGCCATACCAAAGGATGGCCATACCAGAGTGCTGATGCAAAAAGGACTAGGAATGGAGAGCAAAAACTAAAACAACAGTTCAAGGCACATGCTCTGCTAGAAATGAAGATGAGAAAAGGGAGAGCAGGCAGAAGCAGTGGAACACAAAGGAATGGGACTTACCGGGCTGTGAGGAGCTCAGCAATGTTGAGGACACAGTTGAGGAAGGAGAAGGAGCAGGCGATGGCACTGTGCTGGTTTTGACTGTGGTGGGTGCAGAGGACTCTGCTGTAGGGGACTCTTGTGGAGCACTTGCCCTTGGAGATGAGGGCTTGGGCCTCAGCGTTGTAGGTGTGGGCCTGGGGCTGGTGCTTGGAGCTGCTGTGGAATAGACTGTGGAAGTGGGAGCAGATGGCAGCCGGGTGCTGAGTGGGCTGCTGGGGGCAGGTGGAGAGCTGGGATTTGGAGATGTTGTTGTCACAGGGAGTTCTGTGCTGCTTGGTGGGCTGGTCTCTGTGGAGACAGAGGTCTTGGAGGTGCTGATTATGGAGGTGGCAGCTGTGGTCTTCTGCGTGGTCAGAGGTGGCTCAGT